CGCCGGCTGCAGGCGGGCGGAGGCGGCGGCGGCGGCGGGAGGGGCGCCCGTCGCGTCGCGTCCCGGGCGGCGCTGCCTTCCGAGGCGGCCTGGCCTGGCCTGCCCTGGACGCCAGGAGGGGGAGCGAAAGCGGAGCCCGGGGAGCGCCCGCCCGGCCGCCCGCCCGCCCTGCAGGAGGCCGAGAGCAGCCAGCGCCCCGTTTTCCCCGGCGGTCCGGCCACTTCTTGGCGGGACGGCGCAAGGTAGCGGCCTCCTCCGCGTTGCTTCTTTGTTAGATTTATAGCACGCCTTTGTAGATTTATAGCCCGCCTGCCTCAGATCGCAAGGGGCGGGAGGGCACGTGGGGAAGAGGCGCTCCTTCAGGTGGCCCGGACCCAAGCCGTTCAGGGCCCTACAGCTCCTCACCCGCACCTTGAACTGGGCCCGGGCTTCAACCGGTGGCCGGCGCAACTGGCAGGCGACGGGCGGGATGCGCGAACACCAGCCAGCGCCCGGCAGCCCCCCAGCAGCTCGGGGCTGAGCCAGTTCAAGCATCCGGACCGTCCCCGAGGGCAGCCCCACGGCGGGCACGCTGCAGCAGTCCAGCGGGGGAGGCAGGGGCCCCCGTTGCCAGACGGGGCACGTCCACGTGAGGGCGCAGTGTAGGACCCAGCCGGGGATGAGGGAAGGCGCTCCTCCCCACCCAGACTCCAGGGACCGCTCCGGGTCGAGGGCACCCCACGCCGCAGACCGTCCCCCCAGGGCACTGCCACCCCACCCAGACCGGGGAGGATTCCCCAGAGGGGTCTGCCTGGCGCCCACGTTATTTGCTTTTCGGCACCAGGCCAAGACTTTTTATTCAAACGCTATTTAAATTGCTAATGTTATTTATTGATTTTAAATTGCCAGGATGTCTCCACTATTTTATGCATTTATATTTTGACGTTTATTTATGATTGGAAGCCGCCCCGAGCCTTATGTGAAGGCGTAGAAGTGGTTTAAATAAACAAATAATTTCACTTAGCTGGAAGGCTGAAGAGCCTACCAAAAGGATGCCCGTCTCATCCAGCCCATCCCCTCGGCCAGGCACCCGTCGGTCGGGGACAGCCAGGCCTCGCCTGGGCAAGATGCGAAGCAGAGGGAGAGCTGGACTGCCTCGCCCAGCAGATCTATATAGATGTTAAGAAGCAGGGGGGATGAATGGGAACCCAGCGGACCTCCAGGACAAAGTGGGCGGTGAGAATGATGAAGGGTTTTGGGTTGCCCTGGATTTCCAGGGTAACCCTAAAATAGGACAAAATCCCCATAAATCAGGGCCATTTTTTAAATGCTCACTTTCCGCAGGTTTTTCTGCCCGGCTCATTCTATCTTCCCAGTCTGAGCGCGTTCCAGGTGTCGGAAACACCGGAACTACCTTAGTTTTGCTAACCCTAACCCTAACCTGGATTTTTTGGGTAACCCTAAAATAGGGCAAAATTCCCCATGAATCAGGGCCATTTTTAAAATCCTCACTTTTGGCAGGTTTTTCCGCCCGGCTCATTCTATCTTCCCATTCTGAGCGCGTTCCAAGTGTCGGAAACACCGGAACTACCTTAGTTTTGCTAACCCTAACCCTAACCTGGATTTTTTGGGTAACCCTAAAATAGGGCAAAATTCCCCATGAATCAGGGCCATTTTTTAAATCCTCACTTTTGGCAGGTTTTTCCGCCCAGCTCATTCTATCTTCCCATTCTGAGCGCGTTCCAGGTGTCGGAAACACCGGAACTACCTTAGTTTTGCTAACCCTAACCCTAACCTGGATTTCCTGGGTAACCCTAAAATAGGGCAAAATTCCCCATGCATCAGGGCCATTTTTAATATCCTCACTTTCCGCAGGTTTTTCTGCCCGGCTCATTCTATCTTCCCATTCTGAGCGCGTTCCAAGTGTCGGAAACACCGGAACTACCTTAGTTTTGCTAACCCTAACCCTAACCTGGATTTTTTGGGTAACCCTAAAATAGGGCAAAATTCCCCATGCATCAGGGCCATTTTTTAAATCCTCACTTTCGGCAGGTTTTTCCGCCCGGCTCATTCTATCTTCCCACTCTGAGCACGTTCCAGGTGTCGGAAACACCGGAACTACCTTAGTTTTGCTAACCCTAACCCTAACCTGGATTTTTTGGGTAACCCTAAAATAGGGCAAAATTCCCCATGAATCAGGGCCATTTTTTAAATCCTCACTTTCCGCAGGTTTTTCTGCCCGGCTCATTCTATCTTCCCAGTCTGAGCGCATTCCAGGCGTCGGAAGCACCGGAACTACCTTAGTTTTGCTAACCCTAACCCTACCCTGGATTTTCTGGGTAACCCTAAAACAGGGCAAAATTCCCCACGCATCAGGGCCATTTTTTAAATACTCACTTTCTGCAGGTTTTTCTGCCCGGCTCATTCTATCTACCCATTCTAAACACATTCCAGGCGTCATAAGCACCGGAACTACCTTAGTTTTGCTAACCCTAACCCTACCCTGGATTTTCTGGGTAACCCTAAAACAGGGCAAAATTCCCCATGCACCAGGGCCATTTTTTAAATGCTCACTTTTTGCAGGTTTTTCCGCCCGGCTCATTCTATCTGCCCATTCTAAGCACGTTCCAGGCGTCGGAAGCGCCAGACCCACCTTCGTTTTGCTACCTGCAACCCTCTGAAAGGCGAAGCGCATGTGCTGCTTGACTGGGCCCTTCCTCACCCAAGGGAAGGGTTGGTCGTTGGCTGGATGAATCTTCCCTGATGCGTTAAGAGTTCCTAATGGGAAGACTCCCCGCGTCGCAAGGTGAGACTGTATGTCTGTACCCAGGCGGAAGGAAACTGCCGCTGGGCGGGATGGGCCTCCCTTGCTTCATGCAGCCGTGGAGCGCAGCCCAGGCACTGCAACCCTGCCGTGTCTCTCACCCCTGCAGGCGCTGAATCTTCTCCGGCATCTGAGATGCAGTCCAGGAAGAGACGATTTTCAGTGTACGTCTTATCAGCTTCCTTGCTTGCCTGCTTGTTATATGTACAGAGAGATGCCACACCAGCTCTGTCTTCGGCACCTGGAAAACTGCCTGGCCGAAACCAGAAGCGCACATTCAGGCTTCCTAGACTGACAGAGCCGAAGGAATGTTTACCAGACCTCGCTGTGGCCAATTCCTCCGCTCTCCTCCCTGAGGTTTACCGCGTTTTCTTAATGTATAAGCATTGCAGGAACTTCTCGACTCTGTTGAAGCCCTCTGAATGCAGCCGAGACACATTCCTGCTGCTGGCCATCAAGTCGGCCCCGGTGAACATTGATCGTCGAGTCACCATCAGGAACACCTGGGGGAAGGAGAAGGTCGTGGGTGGCCGGTCAGTGAGGCTGCTCTTCTTACTTGGCCGCTCGCAGGTCCGAGTTCAAGCTCACTCGCTCCAGCAGCTTGTGACCTACGAGAGCCTGGAGTTCGATGACATCCTCCAGTGGGATTTCGTGGACGACTTCTTCAACCTGACGCTGAAGGAGCTGCACTTCCTCCGGTGGCTGGTGGAGGACTGTCCTCATGCCCGCTTCGTGCTGAAAGGCGACGATGACGTCTTTGTGAACACGGACAACATCATTGAGTTCCTGAGAGACCTGGACCCCGAGGAGGATCTCTTTGCCGGAGATGTCATCAGCAAAGCCCGGCCAATCCGGAATCCCAAGACCAAGTATTTTATCCCGGAGTCGATGTATCCGGCCTCGTTCTATCCACTCTATGCGGGAGGCGGTGGCTACGTCATGTCGCGGCTGACGGCGCGGCGGCTGCGTGGCTCGGTGGAGGAGACCGAGCTGTTCCCAATCGACGATGTCTTTGTGGGGATGTGCCTGGCCAAGGTGGGCATGACGCCAGTGCACCACCCTGGCTTTAAGACCTTTGGGATACAGCGGCCCTTTAATCCGTTTGATCCCTGCCTGTACAAAGGACTGATGATCGTACACCGGCTGAGCCCGACGGAGCTGTGGGTCATGTGGACGCTGCTGAGCGACGGGGGGCTCAGATGTGCCACGTCAGTAACTCCGAAACTATAGAGCAGATTTGGATGCGCCTGGCGCTGAGACTTTGATAGGCGTTGGCTTGCGCTTCGTTAACGGGGACTTTTAAAGCAGATTGCTTCCGCCTGGGTAACTGTAACATGCTGATGCTTCACTTCAGAGGCGAAGGCTGGCAATGTTCCTGGCCACAGTTGCTTTGGGATGAGAGGCGAGATGCAGGGAAACACGCGCTGCCTGCTGGCATCTCTTTATGACTGTGGAAAGCAAACAGGGCTCTTCTTACAAGGAGTTCTCCCCAACCTGATGCCCTCGATGGGCGAATTATTCCTGGATACGTTGTTGAAGCCCCAACACCTCTGGAAGTCTCTGGGTTGGGAAAGCTGACTTCACTTGAAGGCCTCTTGCTTTGGTTCCCCATCATGTTGGGTGTCTCCACGCACCCCACCAGGTGCTTCTGGGAAAAAGAAGCAGGGAGCCCTCTCTGTCTGAAGAAGGCACAGTCCCCTGAAAATGAAGCTCCGTGAGCGGCTGCGGGAAAGTAAAAGTTTGTCTTTAGGTCTCACCCTTCGGGTCTGTGGCAGACGCTTCCTCCTGGGCAGATCGAAATTTAGGGGCATCTTGCCCCAGTGGAGAAGTTTCAGGTTGCGAAATGGCCACCAGCTGGGAGGTGCCCCAGCCCTCTGCTGGATCCAGTATTTTGCGAGAAACAGACCTCCCCACAGCGCACCCCCCGAAAAGACCCCCCAAGCTAGAGAGCTGGGGTAGGTGAGCACCCCCAGATCAGGCGAGGGACTTGACACTGGCAGAGCGTTTTCTCTTATCCTAGTGTCCTGGGCAGGTCTCTTGTAAACGTGACAGTGGCCGAAGTGTACGATCTGCCTATTCACTGAAATGTTCCAGGAAAAGACTGGCACCGAGATGTGGCTGGAAGCTAAGCGAACTGGGCCCGGCCAGCGCCTGAAGGGGAGACAGCTTGGACTTGCCCACATACGCTGCTTCCCTTCTGTCGTGGAAGAAATGTACTTTTGCGGAAAGGTGGCCGATGAGAACGTTCCCTGCTGTGCCTGCAAGATCCCGTGGTGCACATGGCTCCAGTAGAGAGGGAAAGCCGCTGCAACTTTCTTCGAGAGCTATCATGGCTCCCAGGCGTGGAATCCATTTTCTCTGAAGCACTCTGGGGCTTGACAGTGGGTCTTACAATTCTAGGGTAGTGGGCAACCCATGACATTGGAGATGGCTAAATTACTGTCTTCCATAGCTGCACGTTTCCTTGGTCTCAGAGGCACTAGCCTCGGCCAGGAGGAGGGTGCTTTCTTAGGTTGAGGGGTCATAGAAACCCCTGGATATTTTTAGCTGGCACATCAGTAACTGCTGCACTGTTTAGACGTCGCCACTAAGAGCACCGCATAGATTCTGTTGTGCGATATACAGAGTCTTTCTTACCTAGTAGCTGCGTTGTGTGTTGTTAGAAGTTCTATTTCACTAACTTCTTTGGCGTTTTAGCAGGAAAGTAAAGGAGGGAACCCCATGAGCACAGAACACGGGCTCGCTTCTTTTCCTTCACGGCACATGCAAGCGGGATTGTTAAAGAGGAGGAATTATTTCTGCACTGCTCCAGGTAGAGAATGGCGAGGCCTTCGCAAACGTGCGCTTGCAGGTCTCAAAAACAGCCTCCTGGCTCATGACCTTTGGTAGCGTGCGTAGCCTCCAGATGATGAGGTATTAGTAAATTGGAAAATAATTGGTCCCTCTCACCCGCCCCCCCCCAGGCTTTCTGTGACACTTCAGTGCATGTGTGTGATATGGTCACTAGGATAGGATGATAAAGAGCATTGTGTGTGAAAACTTCAGCAAAGCGCTCAAAGTGGCTTCCTCCATCCACTCCAAATCATTTCTCTTCCATTAATATTTCACTGTGATTACTGCTTGATTTGAATCTTGTTTTCAAGAATTTCTTGATTTTTGTTTGACTAAGTTAACTCCATTTTGTATGCACACTTCTAAGTAGCCAAGTGAAAAATTGCACTTATTTTGGGTATCTGTTTTCCTAACACGATCAAGTGTTTTTCTACTTCAATAGCAACTATATTGAACCCTCTGACTTTTTATCTTAAAAATTTAGTTCATTTAATTAGAAAAAACCAACACAAAATGACATATCCTCCAAGCTGCAACTTTGCAGGAATGAAATGCAATTTTCTTGAAATTTCAGGTACAGTAGTTGGTGGCATAAATGCATTACCTTCACAAAACCTGTAAATATTTTTCTTACGTAAAAAGAACAGCACAAGCCCTGTAGATCGGAACTGATTATTCCCAGTCTAAACATATGTTACTAATCATCTCAATTAGCCATTCCAGTGCTGGGCTGCAAGAGTCACAGACATTCTGCTGGCTGGTTTCACATTTGCCCAGTATTTAAAACAGGAAAAGGCTCCCAGCAGATTAAAAACTTCCATGGTTCAAGGCCTGCAGCCAAAGAGCAGGTAAAGCCAGAGAAACAGCAGGTGCCCATCTGGTGCTAGAACTTTAAATGCACACTATCTTCCCCCACAAAAGAGTTAGTGGAAACGTCCTCACAGCTGGTGGCACATCAGTCCTCACGAAGGTAGGCCTCCTCAGCTTCCTCCACACTGCCTTGGCGACCTGCTGGCGGCACGAGGTCCTCCTCCTTCAGTTTCTTGAGCTCTTCAGTTTTAACTTCTGCCAGCTTCGTCTCGGCCTTCTGTGACAGTTGCCGCACCTCTTGCACCTGGGTTTTCACCAGCTGGATCTGGTTGTGTGTTGACACCGAGGCCTGATCAGCCCCTGAAAAAAATCACCTTAAAATCAGGGCAGTTTGGCACAGAACTGACGGCAGGACTGAGGATTCCCAGAGAGCATTCAGGTCAGTTCCAAGATGATGGCCAACGTGTCTCATGTAGAAGTCCCTGGGCCCTGACTTGGTCCTCCTTAAAGCAGGCCCGTTGAAATAAATGGGAGTTGAGGTAGGTATTTCTTCAGCCCATTGCAGAAATTGTATTGATCCTCCTTTTTTACTCTCAGTGGGCTGGATTCTGACTCCTATCAGCCCCTGCCAACATGGCCAATTGATAGGGATCATGGGAGTTGTATCCCCAAGCATGGAGGACACTATTACCCCCTCTTAAAATGTCCATCAAAATCTTCCATCAGCTTTTAGAAGTCAGAAGGAATGTAAGCACATTCTGAGAGGGAAATGCATTCCCCCCACATAATAGTATGTAGAAGCTATGAGCGCACAATCTTTTTGATTCAAACCTTTTGGAGACCCTTCAAATGAATGCACACTTTCTGCCAAGGCAGAAGCACGACTGGAAGGAGAAAAGCTATTTGTGTTCTATACCCATTTCCTGAGGGGCAAAATACCTGACTGAAAGGCTGCCTCTGCTGCCATCTCTGAAAGACGCAAGGCCGTCATCCACCTGGATTCCAGCTTCAAATACGCTTCCTGCTTTGCCGTCATCTAAGTAAAGCCAAATACCACTATGAGACTGTTAGAAACACAATCTGAACGTGCATATCCCCCCATAAATAAACGTTATAAGCCACTTAAATGAAAGAAAGAACCCTCTTATTTGGCACACGGTCAAACATGGTTTTCAAATCTTAGACTTTACAGCTGCGTATCAGGTCACTGTTATACCTGAAGGGTGTTTAATACACTTGATCTTGCAATATTTAGTCAAGCTGATTCAGTAAGACAGAATGGGGTGGGGAATTTGAGTCCAGGCCTCTCAGGTTCAAATCCAGAACTGCTGGATGCTTGGACACTCTAGTTCTGGAAAGGCACAATACATCAAGCACAAGTTTCTTACCTCAACTCGAGCACCAATGATCACTTGCCAAATTGCATCCTCCTCTTTAGAATTCATTTTCCCAAGGAGGTGCGCATATTTCTGGTACAGTGACACCAATGTATAAATTGCCTGCAGAGGGAAATCTGTCTTGTTAAAATTGCATGTGGCTGAGTGAATGTGTAACTTGCAGTTGCTTCTGTATTATTATTATTATTATTATTATTATTATTATTATTGGAACATTTCTATGCAGGAACTGGGGCATAGAGCTGCTTACCATCGTGTACTCAGTTAAAGCATCAATTAATGCATAAGTCGTTTGAGAGAGAAGGGTAGCAGTGCTATCAGTTACCAAAGAGACTGCTCTTCGGATCAAGGCTTCATTGCTAAGACAACTTGGATCATGTTTCTGAAAGAGAAATATTGTGCGTTAGGTTGCTTTCCAAAGATAATGGCTCTTCAGAATCTGGAAAGATGATGATGATGATGATGATGATGATGATGATTACATTGCTATGCCGCCCCTTGCCGAAGAAGATGTAAACAAACTTGCTAGCAACACCTTTTAAAAAAGCCAGGAAATATTGCAACTATGCAGTCTCTCCCTAAACCTGGTGTCCTTCAGATGCGTTGCAGTCCAATACACCTAGAGGGGGCCATGCTGGGAGAGGCTGAACTAAACAAGTTACAGCACTGTGGGTCATGCTGCACATCTGCCTGCAAGCACAAGAGTTTTACTGGCTCATAGTAGCTGGTATCTGCTTTCTCAGAGCAGCTGATCTGTTGCCTCCAAAAAGCAGGACATGGCTGCTAGTTGCTCCCCAGCAAGTCTAGACAGATACACAGTTTAAACTTTTCTACTCCAAAAGTCAAGAAGCAGGTTGACTGGGCTGATTCTATCTGGTAAAATTATTGGACTTGTTCTGGTATGAAAAGGATCCCGTGACCACCAAAACCAATACTGTTAATAGCTCTCTTACATTCTGTTTGAAGATAAAATCCAGCAAACTGCCACAACACAAACATTTTGTTTTGGCATAGAATTCTGCAAAACCACACACACACACACACACACACACACACACACACACACACACACGCGGAAAGCTGAGTTTTCTTGCTGAGAAAAATGTACTAGCAGGAATAATAGATTTCCCAAATTTTAATTTTCATACTCAAATTAAACCAATCCTGTCCATCACTGCAGTGTGAAAAGTCACTATGAGGAAGGGAAGGCAAAAACAGAAAAGTGAAAGAAGATATTTTCATGTATTGATTGCTTAAACAGCTGCAAAGAAGAAGAGATGGAGGCATCAGGAAGTAGCCTCCTTCTCATGTTGGGAGCTGAAGAGAAAGGTGGCAGCAGAAAATAGAGAAAGTGACATGAGGTTTAGCCAAGAGAAAAGTATCAGCAAAGTGTGCTAGGAGCTTCCTGTGGAGGCTTCCTCCCCTTTCTATGCAGGTACAAACCCATCAGTATAATGCACAGACCACAAATAAGACACTAGAAGGTAAATATAGACAACACAGTAAAAGAATAACGAGATTTAAAAAGCAGCTTCCACTTCAGCACTTAACCAAGTTGTATTTTTCAGAAGGCTACCTGTGTAATAGGAATTGCAGACAAGGATATTCCAAACCCCAAAGCTGTCATTTTCTTCCATGGTCCCTTCAGTCCTGATAAACAGCGAGTCCTCATATTTGCCAGGACTGGAACATTCTGCCTAGAAAAACCCCCCCAAAATATCCATCTTAGATACAACTGTTGCCAGCCACACAAGAAAACATGCAGTCCGGAGGAGGAAATGAGTGGAGTCCTACATATTAGAAGCCCTTCGCCCATTGACTGTTGCCAGAAAACTTCTGCTTACATTTCTCTCATTTCAAGGTGTTAAAAGACTCGGTGAAACCTTCTTTGTCGCAACCCTGACACTAAAAAAAAAGATCTAGCAAGACCTTAAGTCTACCCCTGCAGGTTTTAAGGCACATCAAATTCTCATGCCTCTTAGGGAAGAGAAAGATCCAGATAAAAACATATATTTAATTGACTAGAGGCCATTTGATGTCTGTTGCAATCTGTTGACCACTGGCCAACAAAATGGGTATGTGAGCATCTGAGTTACATGACAATTTTTTTTAAGACACAGCTTTAATTCCCAAATCATAACCCAACAGGATCTTTAGATGCTATACCTTCATACTTCAAAGTTCTACTTACAGAAGTATAACTTTCTCCACAGCTAACTTACTCCGGATTATCAGTGCCACGTTTACCAAGCATCAACTCCGGAATGTGAAATGCTCTGGCACACTTTATTGTGCCGGGCTTACACAATCTGGTGCCTTCTGAATGTGTCGACCTACAACCCCCAGTCACTCCAAGCCAGCATCTAGAAAGCCCCTGAATGGGGAAGCCTGCTCTAAAGTATATTCTACTGGGCATTCTTGACATTAAGTGCTTCCTCCTGCATGTCCAGACAACATTTACAATGACGGCTCATTATGTCAGGAAAAAAACGCTCCAAAACGGCAAACAGGTCATCGAAAAAACTGATTAGAGCCCGGAGGGGGGCGGGGGGGAGAAGACACGTGAAGACCGAACAGGCCCGTCTCTCAAGATACACTAAAAACCTGGCCAAAGCGACCGCCCGCCCCGGCGAGGCGTTTGGGGAAAGGGAGCTCAGGGACGGCGCAGCGCAAGGTCTCAAAGGGTCTGAAATGGGGGAGCGGGGAGAAAAGGAGAGTTTGTGTACATACCGAAGAAGGGCGAAGCAAGCCCGGAGCCAGCGAGCATTCGTGGCGGCAGCCATCTTGAAACTCTACGGAAGCGCGCAGGAACTGACGTCACACTCCACGCCAAGGCAGGAACCATAGAGTTTACCAGGCGGGCTCGGAAGCGAAACATAGAGCTGGTAACGGGTAGAGTGACGCCTGCAGGCGAACGGGGCCGGTGGGCCGCCTGCGCTTTTCCCCGGGAGTTTAGGCGTTCCCAAGTGCGGGAAAGTTTTTCCTAGCTCTGTGAAACGTCGAGAGTCTCGAGTGGAGGAAGGCGGGCATCTCCGATGCACGCGGTGCCGGCAGAAGCCCCGGTGCTGATTCGATCCATCCGCGCAGCAACACGTTGTGCTTTGCAAAAGGAAGCTTTCCTTCCCCTCGTCTCCGCCGGCCATGTCTTGGCCATTCACCCCTTGCGGGGCTTTTGCATTTGCGGTGGCTCGTGATTCATTACGCTGCTTTCATGCAGATTCGGAGCCGGGTCCGGGCGCCAGCCGCCCTCCCGACGGACCCTCGAGCCGGGACGCCGCCGGGTTCGCTTCCGGGAACGGTCCCTTCTTCCCTTTCGCGCAAAGAGGCGCTTCACTGCTCTGCCCCGCGGGGCTCACATTCGTGCGCGTTGCGGTGGCCTCATGAAATCAACAGAATGAGGGCCAGAGGCAACGGAGCTGCGCGATGAATCCGTAAAAAGGCAGCCGAAGTGCAGCCCCGCAACGGCTGCCAGCAGAGAGTCCTGCAGAAAAGTCTGGGCGGTTTAAAAAGGCCTTTTCTGGTTCCAAAAGAGCCCCAGGCGAGCATCCTCCGTTCCTTGCGAGGGGCCACCCTTGCGCCTTGTCCAAAGACCTTGGTGGGGGTCACTCAGTTGTGCACACGGGACTGGCTGAGGTTGAGAGCTATGACAAAAGGCATTTTTCAAAACGTTAAAATGACACATTTTGGTCCAGGGCGTACAACATTTCGATAGATTTGATATCCTGATGAAACCTTCCCACTGATGAAATATGCATTAAGAGAGAGAGAGAGGAGATGGTCGAGAAGAGTCAGGACTGGAGGGAAGAAAGATGGAGAAGGTACAAGACAAGAAAAACAGAAGTGACGTGTGTGGGAAATACACCTGAAAAACGGAGCTATCCGGTATTCTTAACATAGCCATCTAAGTTAAGAATATTGAATGCATTCAGGTGCCATCCTACAAACAGGCCTTTCTGGGTCTGATCGTCTTCTCCTGGTTATCTCTCCCTTCACTGCCCTCCTTTTGGTGTCAGTTTTTGGGTTGAAAGCCCCTCCAGCAGGGGAAAGTGAGGGCTGCTTTGTCAGGGGGGTCCTTGCCCACTGCAGCTTTTCTTTTCAGTTCTATAGGCGTGCTCTGTGGAGGGGAGCCTGCCTGAGGGGTTGATTTCAGCACCATGGATAATCCTCTACATCTCGCAAGCAGCGGATGTTTGATTGTACATTAACACTATGTACGTTAATGGTGTAACACACACACACACACACACACACACACACACACACACACACACTGGTTAACACTCCTTCCAGGTCTTCAGTGCTCTGTTTTATTTATTTCTGGTCACTGTACTCTGTTGGTACTTTTGTTATTGAAATGTGGTATCGAAAAGGCAATCTGATTTTTGTTTGCATTTCCTACTAAAAGCTAAATTTCAGCCAGCTGAAAATGTTTTGTTAAAGTTCAGTGTGTTGCAAATTGAACCTGTACCATCAGAAGTAAGTTTCATGGCATCCAATCAAGCTTACTCCTAAGTAATTGTGCCTTGTGTACTTGAGATGACTCCCTGTGTGTTATAATGGAGCTTTTAGCCAGCGTCAGCTCTTTCGAGCATCAGTCATTCCAAAGTAGGTGAAACAATAACTAACGAGATAGATCTCAGCCCCGCTTCCCCAAACACTGGAAGTGTGCATTATTATTTCATTGTGAACATTTCTTTGAATAGCAACTGAAATGTTTGGGAACTTTTAAACAAAAACCATAATTGTGTAACTTATTTTTCATTGTCAAGTTTGCAGTTATCTGAGTTAGAGAATATTGTATCAGAAGTTTTCAAAAGGCTATTCATATTTCATATAAATTTCATTCTCTTTTCTTTCAGGATCTGATGAAGTTCCTTTTGCAGGCCTGGTAAAATGATAAGCAGTGCAATGGTGAAGTAATTATTTAATAATTAGATAAAATTGTTTAGGTAAGAGAAATAATAAATTTTATACATTTTCTCTTAATATTATCTTCACAGATATTATATGTAATTTACATCAATTACTTTAAACATATAAAGTAGTAAGGATTTTCAGAACACTCCAACTGTATTTTCAACCCCTCTTTGCTCTTATCAGAAGAACTGCTCTTCAGTTAATAAGGATTTAATTCAAACAAGTCCCAGTCTGAATAATGAAAACAATGCTAGATCTGTAGGTTATTTTATTGATCTTCTTTTCGAAACAGATAACAATTGTGTAATGCTTTAATCCTTCTCCAGACAGCTTGGCGTTAGCAACGTCATAACACCCTTTAATTAAGAGTAAGAAAATAAAAAAGTGAAAACAAGGAGCTACTGCTAGAGAGTACTCAAAGTGGGGAAGAAGAAGAGAATGTGGGAGCCCATCGGACTTGCTAAAAGGAGACAAGTTACAGCTTGATCAGTGTCTCTTGATTTTATACTGATACGCCCAAGGAAAGGTAAGAAATAGGAGTGTGAGAAGATAAGTTGTCATTGGTTTTCTGAGATATTTACTCCTGAGAGTATGTAAAAAAATGACAAAATTTTGGGATTATGTCTGTTATATCTAAAATGTATCTTAATTTAGCTGGTAAACCACACAAAGAAGCTTGCAAAGTCTCTAGAATAAAATGGAACATTCTCTTGATTGATCAGGTCTTAGAGGCGACAGGTCTTGCTCTGTAAGCTGCAACTGAAAAACAGGAAGAGCTCTCACTTCAGCACCAGAAAATAGGTGGTCCAGCCTGCCAGCAGCAGTGCTCCCAAGAGCACCGTGTAACTGAACAGCACGAAAGCCAAGAGTTCCTTCAGCACCTTCAGAAAATGGACAGCGAACGATTCCTGCATGATTTCCGCTTTGTAAGCTGGTGGAACGAAATGCATGGGAATAGTCTGTTCTGTAAAACAGAAGGAGAAACAGGAGGAATGAAAGATGACGCAAAGCAGGAAGAGGCTGAGTTTGTGATCTACAGCACCAGCTTGAATGTACCCATTTTGCAGCAGTGCCATTGAGTTCAATGTTGGTCTTGCTTCCAGGTGAGTATGCATGGACTGCAGCCTGAATTTGTTAAAGATGAGCTGTCTGTTTTCAGGTTGGTGATGGTACTAGTCTGCTCAAAAGTAGTTTGCAAAATCTAACCACACACTTAAGAGAACAGGCAAGCTGTAAAATTCATGGATTACGACCTACTGATGCAAGTGGTTGACCTAACGTGATGATATTAGATCACTCAAATGGCAGCTGAAGAACAAAACCTCAAGATATACAGCTGATAGTGCATTAATATCAACTAAATGGACTAACCAAAGTAGTCAATCCCTCCAAAGGGAACCCACTTAAATATTTAATGTTATAATTGCATCTAATGGACAGACTGGCAAAAAAACTTCTGTTTATGATTTGGGGGTTAAGTACAAATTGTTTGGCTTGCATCTTTACATCTGCTAAAAATAACTAGTGTTAAAGTAGGGAAATGTTTAAAATCCATTCTTTATCGAATCAATATGCAGTTCGGTAAGAGAACAAGCTGCAACGTTTTCTAAACTTTGCGAAAGAAGAATGGATACTTTCAGTCCCCAGCCTTTGAAAGTATGTGCTGCTATTGCCCGATTAAATTGTGCAAACATTTCTGTTACTGTGTTTTGAGAGCCACTTCAATATAAAAAATATAATACAATACCCTTTTCTCATGGTTAGCAGTATACCGATGTTTAATTTAAAAGAGATATATCAAACTGGTTAGATAATAATCTCACTTTTGTTGAAAGAGTATGAAAATAAAGCCAGGATTAATTTAGAGTTAATCTTGGAAGATTATTTCCCTTCCAAACAATATGAAGGCTGTCGGGACCTAATTGAATTTCCAGCATCTCAAGCTCTTGCAAGAATTGTTGAAAGTTACCATCAGATCATTTTTAAAAATTCTAATAATTGACCTTGCTAATTATTTCCAGTCACAATATATTTTATTTATCTCCCGCAATACCAGGACAAATACATATCTGAATAAGAATTAAATGTTTTGCAGAGCACAAGTTTAAAAATACTTTGCGTGATATCAGAGTACAGTTGAAGGGAAACAGTCACTTACCGTGAATAAATGACGGCATTTAAAGTTGTTTGCCTCTGTTTTGGGATCTCTCTTGAATGTATGGCTTGGAGAAGTGCTGCCGATGTAGCTGGATCCTCTTCTGTTCTGTTACTCTGAAGAGGCAGGCATAATGACGTGGGATTTACCCGGCTACTTAAGTACTAATGGACTAGGTGTGGTCAGGGACTGGTTCTAGGATAAGGGTATATACAACTCCTTTGTTCGCCTTCAATGTGCATACAGAATATACTAGAAATATTTTTTAAATGAGATTTTAAATTTATGCAGCCAGGATGAATGCTTTCTAATTAAATCTTCTAATTATTGCATTTGCATCGAATTAAATGAACTCTAGTTTGTTCCTTTTTATATTGTCCAATAGCTGAGGCTCTAGTTTACAAAAGATGATGTTGGAATAAATTTGTTAGGCTTCAAGGTGTCACAAAACCTACCCCTTTTTGCTGCAGCCGTAAGCCAAGACTTTTCCTCAAAAATAATGTAGTGTCATTTTTCCTTTTCAGAAATGCGACCGTGTATAATTTTTGACTGTGTGCAGCAGCAGTCAGGAAGTAAGATGGTACAATCCTAATCGAAAAGTCTTACCATCAGCGTTCTTACAGGTATTTGTACTGATGGGGTATTTTTGCTCAGCTATAATATGGTAAAGTTACATATTTAACATCCTCCACTGCTCCAGTGTTTCAGGTGACTTATAATGTCCTCGGGGCACTGAATCCTCAATCCTTATTATAAAATAGTAAGAGAAATGGGGCTGTGTAATATGGGTGCATTCCAAATCCCTTCAAAACAATAGAAAATGAATTTTTGTCTTCCTTTGGTCACGTTGCTGAAACTTAGAATGATGCCTTCGTGTTTCGTTCCGTTTAGTGTTGGGGTGCCTCCAGCCAGAAGGCTGCTAGCGTCACCAGTCAAAAAGGGTTGTGCAGCTATTCTATATTTTTTCTGTTTTTTTTTCCTGTGGACAGAAATAGTGGGAATACATAGGAAAATTGGAAATGGATGATTCCCTAAACCCATATTTGAGAATTGGCCTGTGGACCTGCTACCAAAATTCTCCTCAGCCATAACATTAGCTCTGGAATGCAGGAATACAAGAAGGGTGTGTGTGTGTGAGTGGGTGTAACTTTAGTCCCGCATGGAGAATTTGCCAGGGTTGTTTTCTCTGTCCCGCTCCCTCCATCTTCCAACGGATCCTTGCACAAATCCCCATGTGCTCCAGGGTAGAACACAGCTTGTTTACCCCTCGTTGCTGTGATTGCTACCCCTTTCATCGGTTGCCATTGCTTTCCGGTGCTTCAGAAAGTACAGCTACTTTATTTTTGGCCCCTGGAAATGGCACAAGTATGCGTGGATCTTTTTGTTACTGTGTATGTCTGTCTATTGCAAATATGCTTTTAAGGCTAACCAAGTAAGTTGACTTCCCTGGACAATTTCTTTGTTCAGCCGTCAGAGGGTTGCAAACTGGAAGATGTAACAGCTGGACAAGGTGAGGTTGCATATAGACTAATTTGTGCACAATCACCAGGGCCCGGTGTCATTTGGACACACCGGTAAACTGCAGGGAGCGACAAGCGGTACCCCAAAGGAGGGGCCATGGGTTTAGGTGATGCAAGTGCAAATGCATCCTTTAAGTGTTGAGGGTTCCCAGTACCCTCCATCTTTTCAACACTTCAAGAATGCTGAAAGGGTATCTACTAACTTCCCCCACTTTTAACGTCTCCTTTTCAGAAACAAGGGAAAAGAGGCGTCAATTTTGGAGATGTCCAGGCCCCGCTAAAATTCCATTAATATACAGAATATTTGCACTCTGGCTAGAAGCTTCTGTTGAACCCAATGTGTCTCTCCTTTCCTTGCATGCTTCAAGCAGATCCCTTACAATTTGTACAATATTGTCCCCACATCCTTAAAAAAAACCCAGACCACATGGATGCAGAATTTGAAAGATCTTGAAGAGTGATGGGGAGGAGGCTGGCTAATGGCAGCATTGGTTTCAGTTTGCACTATAAAGTGTAAGCAGAGAACCCATCTTCCCAGAGCTCGGCTAAAAGGGGACCTTGTTCCTGTATTCTAAACAAAAAACAGCTCGAGTTCTTTCTCAGCAAATACAGTTCTCAAGTTTCATATATATCCATCTTTTATCAGAGAGATACATGCGCTTACTCTTTACACAGCTCATTTTGGGCCTGTGTTGCCTGCCTCCTCCTGGCTATTTCAGATGAAAGTATTTCTACTGCATTGTCGTTTTTGTTGCTTAGATACATTATAGCTTAGCAAATGGACTCTAAATTTAATCAGGTGTTCTCATTATCAAATTATTAGCTTCCTGATCAGCATGGCTTTCTCCAGAGATGTATCAAAATCAAACCTGTTAGGGTGTAATTACTTCCCAAGAGATCTGATCAGGACTGGTGGCTGATCCTGGAAACATTCAAATTCTCCCTAGATTAAGAATTTGTGTGAACAAAGATAGGCCTTTTGAAGGCAGTGAATGACATGTCCTTCTTCCTTAAGTTCACCTGGGAGATCATCTTTACAAAAGTACTTGTTCTAAAACAGATCCATTATCCTGTTATCTTATGAGCAATGCCGCTGTTTTCTTTGTTTTATTACTGGTTTTGGATTATATTAATTGTAGATTGTGTGACTGATTTTCTGTTTTTCTTTTTTAAAAATATAGTATATAAAACTGATTTGGGGAAGCATATAGCACTTAAGAGTGGATGAGTAAGTATTTAAAATGAATAAATAACCAAAGAGTATAAATTAACAATTGTAACGAGCCCTCTATGAATTTGGTTTCTTTTATTTTTGCTCGTATTATAAATTTGGGTAGATATTTTCCTATTTGTACATTGTTACATATTCTTTAGGAGGAAGTCCTTGCTCTAGTGAAGTCAAAACACAAAATATTGATGTAATTTCAGGTTTAAGGTAGTTTAAAGCTGAAGGGAATATTTTAATTCATACACAGCTGATGAACGGTGCCACAATGGAAGCTTCGCTCCTTGAGAAAGGTCCCTTTGGAATAGTCAAGACAACAAGACAGAACTTGAAATACAACACAACGTAATAGTGATGGGCAAACAAAACTACAAGAGTGGTGTTCAGCAGAACACAACGCATCAGCAAGGAGAGAAAGTCAATTTTCAGAGGCAAAAACCTTCCCCACCCCATGGTACATAAAAACCACACACAAATTCTGTTATCTCCTGTGTCTTCAACTCAACGTAACAGGTTGCCTTAAACCACCTTCTGCAATAGCAATATGCAGAAATTAAATGCTGTATCTATGCAGGAGAAAATAGTGTTTTCTTTGCATGAGTTTCTGACTAAGTTCAAAATAATAAATACTTAAACTGTGCAACACACACGCTGAGAATGGTTGGCACTGCATCCTTATCCTAAATATGAATTTGCATGTGCAGAAAACCCCCAGCACTCTCCACTTTTAACCCGATCGGTGTCATCTGACTTGAGAAATAAATGTTAAAACGAATGCTCCAAAATGTTCCACATTCTTCTCCCATGCCCCATCCTACTATCACCTTAATTTTACAAGTTTGATCAATATAAGGTCTTGGAAGCTTTTCAAGAAACATCAGTATGTACCAAGAGATGCAGGTATTTTTACAATGTACAGCAAAAGGAGATTTCTCTGGTAGTAGCACAGAAAACAGAAAAAAATAAGAAAGAATAAGAAAAGAAAGACCAGAGAGAATCTGTATAATAGAAATGGTGCAGGTGATGCTGCTGCTGTCATCTGTAAACTTGCAATTATATTTAAGCCCATGGAACTTGACTTTGGTGGGACTTGGAGCTTTACAAGCAGGCTTCAGAATTATTGTGTGTGGGTCTACAAACATGACAACACAGCTTGGGGAGAATGTTTAGGAATGGCATGAGGAGTCAGAACTAAAAATAAAGTGACAACAGAAAGGGAAGGGGAAGCTGCCAGGAAAACCTCTTGAGAAATGTGCTGGATTGTGGAATATGTTCACTCCAAAGGGATGTTTATATGCTGCAATAAATAAAAATAAAAAGTCTGGGAATTGTGCTAAAGGGTATGCTCTAAATTCCAGCCAAAAACAGCTTCCTCCTTATTTCAGAAGCTAACTCGGGAGCAGTCCTCCTTTGCTTGTTGATATTTTTCTCTCTTTCTGAGGCATCAGCTCATTGCCAAGGTCTGAATGATCATAGGAGGAAGACCGGAGAGACAAAAAGACGGTATTTCATGCACTGGATCCAGTGGCTTTTCTTCTCTGCTCTTATGAAGACCCGAGCACATAGCAAGCCTCTTTCACGTCATCTGGTTGCAGATTCTCAATTTAAAAAGGCGGTGGTTCCAGCTTCTCCATCAGAGATTTAATCCAACTTGTTCCATTGATTAGCTTCGTTGTTGCAATGACATATTCTGTGCCTCCATCTTCCATTTGAGACAGAAACCGGAGAGCTGCAATTTCAGCATAGGTCACGCCACCCAAGAAGAATACCAGAGTGACTCTGTTTTCTCCATGCTGACCTGCATTTGCACAGGGAGAGAGAGAGTTTTGAAAGCTGGCTTCAAAATGCTATTTCGTGCACTGCTGCTTGTAAAACCCTCTTTAAAACTCATGTTTAGACTAGCCACTTAACAAGAAAGGCTACTAAGCTGAATCTGAGTAAAAGGTGAAGCTGGATCTTGTTTGATGTCATGAGCAACAAGCCGGAACAACATAACAACACCAAGTGTGTGCACAAGGACACCTACGCTTTTTCTGAAGCCCGGTTGGGAGCTGCTGCCTCTCTTCAAAGTGAGGGCCTGGAAGCATTTTCAGGACTTCTTCTATGCTTCGCCACCCTGGCCGCGCAAGCAGCTGTGCCAGGCGCACACTGAGGGGAGCATAACCGCTGTATACATAGGAGATGTCATTGGGATTCTGTGGAAAGGAAGGAGGGAATCGAGGAGCAGCTCGTTAACTTACAGCGCCTTTCGCAATAGCGCAACCGAGAGCCAAGGCGCCTCGCATACCTGCTCGTTCACATCGTCCATCCACAAGCGCAGGGTTTTCCGGATTGTGGGGTAGTTGTTTCTGCTGCTTAACTGAGCCTTCAAGAGTCCAGCTTTTTCTAGGTTATTCAGAGTCAGTATGTGCTCATAGCCGTAAGTCTGTACCAAGAAGAAAGGAAAAGAGCAGCATTTTAAATTGCGCACTGATTTTGGGGTGAGCAGCTTTGGCTTATTGGCAGTACAATCCTCATTGGCAGTAAGGCCCAAATGGCCTGAGACTTCAGTCCATAAACAATTTGCTGTGGCGGCCTAACAGGCTCGTTATGATGACAGGACAAAGACACGAACCAGGAAGTCATGAACCAAAGCAAACATATACTGCACACCCAAACAAGGTAATAAATGGTGGCAGGATGTTGTATCTTGACTGCTGTTGACAAAGCTTGTCTCTCAGTAACCGTGTCTGCGCCTGCAAAGATTACATCCCATATTCAGTATGAACAGCCTGTGTTACTAGACGAACTATTGTACCTCCCAAGAGTTATCTATAGTTGTCATTTCATCAGCCTAACCTGGAGAATCTCTCTCTTATAATAATCCAGGACCTTCTGCTTCAGTCCGCTGTTGCACACGGACTGCAGACAAACGAGCCGCAAGATCTTGATCAAGGGATGCTTTTGTGCAATGCAGTCTTCAACATAATTATTGACCTAAATATAAAAACACAAGCTATCAAACCATCTAACAAGCTTCCAAAAGAGACTAAAGAAATAATTGAACTCTAATTTGCAGGAAGCCATTCATGGATGTGCAAAATTCCTCCCAGCCCATCCCCTGGATTTTCAGAGATTTTCTACCAAACTGAAACCAGCCAAAACAAGGGATTCCTTTTTTACTTGTAGTTTTTGTTCAATAAAAAAAAGTGACTGCCAAATGGTGAGTCGGAGCCAGCAGCCATCCGGCCTCGAATGGCCCCCGCAACTGCTGTTGTGGACTGGGTGTTTGAGGAAGTTTAGGCCGCAGAACGTTACACTGGAACAGAGGCGGGTTTTACTTAGCAAAAAGTACATGCACAGCTGTTCAAGAGAGGCTAAGCAAAGGCCGACAAGACAAACGAAGAGCATCCTCACCAACCTTATCGGTGTCTATTCCTGACATGAACTCCTGTTCCACAGTTAAGTTATCAAAGAAGTCTTCTGATGCTTAAGGGAAAAGAACAAAAACAACGTACTAAACGAACAAGTTTAATTTGAAAACAAAGGTCATGTTACGTGTGTCCAGACATACTGTAGAAGCACAAACCGTGCTAGGATCTGGCTTCTGGCACCTTATTTACGTGGAATTTAGTCAGCCTTCACTGTAAGTGAGGCACTAACCGAAGCTGCAGCGGCAATACTCACTAGTGATATCTTTGATGAGTTCTGCGATGGAGGTGTGATTGGCTAAGGACCCTCTTGCGGCCTGCATGTGCGGTAGCTGGGACACAAACTGTTTGATCTCGCCAACTGTTTTGGCATGGTGCCTTTCCTGGGAAATTAAATGAAGCCGTTAGCAGCTTTGAGTCCACCCCTGGCACAAAGACGGACGAGACAGCCCATGTTCGTGTTCTAGGCTGTGTTCACTATTCCAGTCTTGCTTAGTTTGATGAGAGAAATCTCTCCCCCCCACACACACAGATTTCTCTTTTCGATGAAAGCATCACAAAAGCTGTTCAAGGTTTAAATTCCCACAATCAGTTCTGCAATGTTTAAAACCATTAAAGGAATGGGGAGCTGCTGATCTTAAGAGCAGAGCTGAAATAGGCATCCCCCCCCCCGCCCCCCCCAGCCTCCATTCTTATCTTTCTATTGTCTAAAGAACAATGCACTGGATGGAGACCTGAGGGATTCAGGGTTGAAAGGTGCCCTTAACAAAGCAAGTATTTCTTTCAGTGTAATGTATTTCACAACAGTCTAGGAAAGATATAACTAAGAGAATGCTTTGTAATGCACATTGGCCTATTAGGACAGAGAGGGAAAACTATTTATTTGTAGAAGGAATTGGTTACTGCATACATCCCAATTACCGTAACAGAACTGTTTGTTTTAATTTTTAGCACTTGTTCTTGTGGTCTGTCCCTTTGTTTTGTTGTCCCAGTTTACTGACTTTATCCTTTATCTTGTTTTTAAATTCTAATCATCACTTTGAGAATCTAGATTGAGAAGCAAATAATAAATGTTATAAATAAACTGGTCCAGTGTCATGATGAGAGAAATGATCATTCTTCCTGCATAATGAGAAATCTTATTATCTCAGCCATGGTGCAAATCACAGAGCTTAACTCTAAGGACCAGATTGCCAGAGGTGTGTGATGGCATATTAATAAAGATCATCCAGAAGTTCATATTCTGTGCGCCGCTTCTCCTCGAGCCACAAGAAGGAACGGCGCAGCCACACGCATCCAAACACATTCATTTAAAAGCTCAGGACTTGACTGAAGTGTAAACTATAAAAAGGACAAGCCCGAGCAGGAAGACAGTAATGAAGCCTGCCGTTAATAGGCCCTCTGCTACCCACAAGCTGCTTTTTCATTATCACCTATTATATCTGACAACTTGCATTCTTTCCCCTTCCTGCCAACATAAAAGCATGAATGACCCAGCAGATGCCAATCATGCAGCTCCAAGGTTGGACAATGTCCCTCCTTCGATCGATCGGAAAGCACATTCGGTCCGGCCTCCTGAAGAGGCAGAAGGAAGTGCAGAAAACATGTTTTGAGCTCACACAGCTCAGCAAGCAGAAGCGTGAGCTTTTATGCACCATCCTGTTAAGGGAGGTGCGAACGAATTTCACGCACATGCCGCCATCTGCAAGGGACAAAGTTACCCCGTTATCTGTTTACCCACCTACATAGATGCCATTCTCTGAGACAAACTATGCCAGGAAAGTATTATTTTAGGATTGATCAGAATATGCAGCATTGTAAGTGCAGCTGGTTATAGATTTGAATAAGGGCACTGTGATACTGGCAGTTTTATTTCCAATTCTTTAATTAATTTCCAATCAATTCCAATTCTAACTTGGAATTTGGCTTTTCCCTCCGGAAGCCACACACTGCGTCGACATTTTCACTGAGCTGTCCAACTCAACCCCAATTAGATTTCCACGTCTCCACACATGGCCTTTGGCACCTACAACATGCAGTAACTTTAGTTGGGGGAACGCTGGAGCAAAAGGGTAGCTCTGACCCAGTCTGACCAACATCAAAAGTGTGGAAAGACAATGCAGATTGGAATCACACGCCAAAAAGGTGAGTTGCTGGAATAACAATCCATTACCTCAAACGCTGCTGATATTATTTTGGCTCTCTTGCTCAGTACGGATCCCACGGCGTTGAAATTCTTGTCTCGGATCTCGGCGTACAGCTCCTCCGCGGAATTCAGCTGCAGCTTCTTTGGCTCCGTGGGGAGGTCCTTGCCGCCCTCCCCCTGCTTCTTGGGAGCAAACTTTTCTGGGGGGAGTTTCACGTAAGCTGCCCAAACACAGGTGAGAGACACAGAGCTGCCCTGAGACCTTTTCAGTGCACAGTGGGGCATATATTTTTTAAAACGTGAAATAGTTAAATCAAGCAAGTCACCAGTAATGTTGTATTTTTACAGGACAAACTTCTATTGGCAAATACTAAGCACAGTTTTATGTCTTTCCAACAGGAACTAATCCAGTAAAAATTGTCACCTTCTGTTCTTGTGCTTTCTTCTGCTTTTGAGATGGAAACTACTTCTAGACTAGATAGTACCACCAAACAAAAATATTTATTCATATTCATATTTATTCATTTATTCTAGAAGGCCAGATACTGAAGATGAAACTCAAATACTCTGGCCACCTAATGAGAAGGAAGGACTCCCTGGAGAAGAGCCTGATGCTGGGAACAATAGATGGCAAAAGAAGGTGGGGACGGCAGAGGATGAGGTGGCTGGATGGGGTCACTGAAGCAGTGGGTGTGAGCTTAGGTGGACTCCGGGGGATGGCGGAGGACAGGAAGGCCTGGAGGAACGTTGTCCATGGGGTCGCGATGGGTCGGACACGACTTCGCGACTACCAACAACAACAAAAATAAATGTTACTATAAACTGCTGTTAGAGAGCTTCATCTCCACTTTGGGAAATATTATATAGCACAAAGCAAAGGAGATGACCAATTGTGGGATGGGAGCAGATCCCACTATCCCTAAAATGCTGGGCAGACACAAAGAAGCTTTTAAGGGGAGATGAGAGGAAGACTCTCAAAAAATACCCTGGGGAAGAGAAAAAAGGGAGGAGGAGGCTGATTAAGGAAAGAAAATTAAAAGATTTATTTTAAGTGCATTTGTATGTGTGTGCAAGCAAGAGAGAGAGAAAGAAGGAATTACTGAAGCTAAACCTATCTTGGAATTGTCATCCCTACCCTGGACTTTAACTGGGCCACCTATTTCCCAGCTGATAGTGGTTTACTTGTCCAGACAAACACAGTTAATTTTGTAATGTTCCGGTTGCGCCTGCTTACGTACTATTCTGAATTCCATATATTTCATCAATCAGTCCCTCGTACGTCAGCTGTGTGGCCAGAGGCGATATCAAATCTACGTTGCGGTCAAGTAGCAAGAGAGTATCAAAGACAGGAAATATTGCGTTCTGACTCCCGGAGAACTCTCTCTTCATCCTGATCATCATATTAGCCACATGCTGGAGAGAGAAGTATTTTGGAGATTATGGCCCAGGCTATAAGCAGTGACTACCACACCAAACATTTTAGCCCTCCTTGAATATGTATTTCTCACTTCCTGAGGTGGTGGTGAAGTTCTGGATTAGTGGGCAGTTTCAATCTGACTGGTGCGTCTTCGCATTCAAGGAAAGAGGTTAACCAAAGTCTCCAGCCTTAACTTTTCCCATTTTATAGATTTGAGGCTAAGAGAGAGCTTGTTTCCTACTAAAGAAAACTTACAGCATGCCTTTTTAATTATAATCATAGCAAGAGAAATGAGCCATCTCTTGCAGAGCTTCGTGATTTAGCTGACTGACCCAAAGTGGGATGCAGGTGGGAAGCCTGACTGAATCAGCGAGTGATAAAGGTAGAACATCCCATTCATCTTTACCCGTGCACATTCTCCCTTCCCAAAGATCTGCGGGATTGTTCCATAAAGCGCCTGGAGCGTCATGAGTCCCTTTGCGGCATGGTAAAGGCTGGTCTGGTCATTTTCCAAGTAGCACTCCTATAAAACACGGGAAGGATGGTAAGAAACTCAGGATGCCGTTTGTGTCCTTAGCGTAACAGCAACGGCTGCGAATAGGACTGCGGAACTGGGAGAGGCCTCTGACTCCTTCCTTCCTTCCTTCCTTCCTTGCAATCTTTTGGGCAGGCAGAGTCAGAAGACACGTGAGCAGTCCCCCCTTAGAAACCTCCAATGGGAAAGCTGCTGCTGTTGTTCAAGAGGTTTCTCACGACGTGAATTTTATTTTTAAAATGCGTACTCCTCTGGAAAGTTCCAAAGCTGTAATAAAAGGACGGTGCTTCTAATGTCTCATCTAAGTCTGCAGGAGAGGAAAAGAGGAAGGAAGAGACCAGCTCACGACAGTTCTAATCTAGTTGCCTCGAGTTAATGGGAAGCCAGGGCTGCTGTTCACCAGTAATTTATGAGACTGGGATGCATCTGATGCCTTTAGCACAGTCTCTCTCAGGGACTGAGCTTAGAAAGAGCTCCTCTGACCCACCCATGCAAAGAAACCAGATACTGACTTTGAAGGCAGTTTCAGACTCCATGGATAACAGATCTCCATCAAATGGAATCAGATCCAGGTTGTACTCCTCTCTGAGAATGAAGGAGCCCAGGACTCCCTGATCATTCAGCCGCTGTTCACACAACAAGCTGCGCCGCGGCACAAACAGGATATGGAAATCCCTCTGTGGACAACGGATTCTCTCTTCCCTGCAAGGGGGCAAGGACAGAGTTTGAGAAACCCGGAAAAAGGACTGCCCGTCAATATTCTGACACAAATTCGCAGGGATGAGTGTGCAGGTGGTGTGTGTGAGAGAGAGAGACTTAGAAAAAGAGATCACTTATCCAATCCATGCAAGAAGGACAAAACCAGAAAATGTACAGGCTCCACTCAAAGACCTTTTATATTGGAATATGCGAACACACGCGGCTTGATTTCAGCTGGGCTTGAAAGGTTTTCATCTCTCTTTGGAGAGCCCTGCTTTTGGAAAGGAAGGGCTCTGCCCATCTTTCCTGCTCCAGTTAGTGGTAAAAATTTTTGTGCATGACAGTCCTTCCTGCATGTATTATCCTTCCCAAGCAGGAGTTAAAAGCTGGCAGAGTAGGGGACAGTGAACCTCGCTCTTGCCCAAAGCAACTTCTTGCCGGCTGCTTTCTCCCACAAGACTGGAAGCACACCAGCAGCAAAGCAGTGAGGGTGGGGTGGGGTGGGGTGGGGGGGAGCATCCCCTTCCAGCCTGCTTCTGCCGAACTTTAAATTGCTACCCGCCCACTCCAACCGGCAACAAATCAGCATGCACTGAACTGGGAATGGTCTGAATCTGGTCCAGCATTGAAAACCAAGGTGCTACCTTACCTGAGCACATTTTCAGCAATTATATCCATGAGCTCCAGTCTTGGTCGGACAAAGAAAATAATATTTTTGACATCAGCAGGCAGGATGCAGCCTGCTTTGAGGGTGAACATTTTTTCCACCTCATGTTCCTGGGTGAAGACAGAAAGAATACATGAAAACAATATGCAATCTTATTTTACTCTTTGGAAATTGGTTTTAGAAAAGACTGAAGCAACTGAAGATTTCTGGTCAACCAACCAGTGGCTGCATTTATTTTTTTTATAAATGATGCTCATGTGCCCACAATCACAGCATAAACTGGGTCACATAAAAACCAAAACTCTTTTGACCCTTGTAGGGCAAAATAAAAATTCCCAAATCCCTATCACTGTTTTTTCTTGGTTAGGCCAATTCCCAAAGATATTATGGTAACAGTTCCATAAAAGTCAGTTCTGTTCTTTCTCGTTCAAGGGTTCGTCTTTCAAACACAGGCATTCTGCTTTACTTAAAATAAAGTTAAAGTGGTTTACAGAATATAAATGATAACAAACGGTTTGGTTTTGCCAACCTGTCCCACTACCTAGGGTAAAAATGCAACATGGAGTCATCTCTTCCCCTTCATGTTAAACACTCCAGTGCACAAAACTAACTCCTATGTTCTGGAGTAAGACGAACAGTATTTATAGAGCACAACAAATTTCCAAAAGCCAAAGCTTTGCTGGAGCCTTACCTTTAGAAGTGAATATTGTGCTATCAGTCCAAATGGCCCTGTAAGATACTCATCCCACACAATGGCCTATAAAAAGGAAAGTAAAGATCAGCAGGTCATGCAAGCAACTTCCAGAATTCATGAGCAAGAGAGGAAGGAAAAACATCTCTGAGCATTCAGCTCAGAAGAGTGCGCAAAATGGAGCAGAACCACATCAAACACTGCCCTGATTCACATGGAACAAACAGATTACTGGTTCAGGATGGGTTTCGGTTGAATTGTGGATGTTTGTTAAATCATGTGGGTTGTCACCATATGCAAACACTGCTCTACGGTTTAACAACTGATGGTTAACCAGGAACAACCCAAGGAAAAATGCAGAGGACCTGGATTGCCCAGGGTTAACAACCCACAGTCAACCCACAGCACGGGCTTTGCATGCAACCACAACCCGCGACTCAACGACAACCCGCGTTTCCACGACAAACCCGCGTGTGCCTGAAGGGGCGAGGCGGCAGAGGCTGAAAGTGTGTCCACAGGACAACGCCGCTCGGTTTCGCTCAGCGAATCCCAACGAGCGTCGCGCGATTGTCAGAACCGCCGTGCGCCCCCCCCGGACGGGGCCGGCGCCCCCGACAGAGGCGGCAGGGCGCCCGGCCGCTCGGGGCGGGAAGCGGGGCAGCCGCTCGGCAGAGCCGCGTGGAGAGCGCCGGAAACCGGGGGCGGAGGGCCCGCCGCCCGCACCCCGAGGGCCGCCCCGCCGGCGCGGCTC